TTTGAAGATTCTCTCATCTTGTGGATGCTTGTCAGGAGCTTAGGGAAACTAGGGTTTTAGAAAGAGCCTCAGAGTAGTTTTGATTGTTTCTTCAAACATGGAGCATATTGTTCATCTCCATTCAATCCAATGACATAAAGTCCTCCTTGGGAAGCTCCATCTCTCCTTAGGAGGGATGAATGGTATGCCCAAGTGAGTAGAACTTTGAGGATACCTTTCATTTGCAATGTTGAGTTCTCAGTGACTTCCCTTGGTTGTCATTGAGCCTCTTAACATTTCACCTTGATATTGTTGGTTTGATTCACCCCGGGAGGTGCTTGTTGAAGCTTGGTAAAGAGAAAGTTTGTTGCTTGTTGAAGCTTATTGAAGTTGAAGTTTGAGCTTGTTGAAGCTGGTTGCTTGTTGAAGCTAGGGTTTTGCTGCTTGTTGAAGTTGAAGTCAGGAGCTTGTTGAAGCTGGTTACTGGTTGGGGTTTGAGCTTGCTTAAGCTGGGAGCTTGTTGAAGCCTGGTGCTTATTGAAGATTGAAATTTTATTGAAGCTTGAAGATGGGAGTTATTCATGAAGATGAAGGTTGTTGCTGTCAACTTTTTGCTGGTTAATCATTTGTTGCTGTCAAAGCTGCTGTTTGCTGTAGGAGTTTGGTGCTGCTGCTTGGGCTGCCTCCTCTGCTTTGGGGTTTTGTTTTTTGTATTGTTTGTTGGCTTATGTAGCTTTCCCCCTAGGTTTGAGGTGAACTTTGATTCACTTTACCTGTTGTTTTTCCAGGTTCAAGGTTAAGTGGGACTCCCTTGCCTCGCTTGTATTGCTGCATTGCATGCATTTTACTGTATTTGCTTGCTTTCTTTTCTGTTTATCCCCTAGGATCTCTGATTTCCTCTGTGCAGGAGGGAATTATGACAGACATTAGGATTCTTATCCATGCATGACAACATTAAGTTAGTTTTATTCCCCTTTCAACCCTAGGTTTTTTAGAGCTTCTTTCTCTTCTTATCTCAAAACAATTCAAAAATACAGTAATAAGGTTAATTGATGTCGTACGTTACGAGCCTTAAGCTATTTGAGAAAAGGTTGCTAGAGGGTCACTCTTCAGTAATCTGACTGCTTAGTATGGTACCCTTAGGGTGACATGCGACGTTGTCACTCTCTAATCATAGTCTCTAGTGCGTCAGAGATTGCAAACAAACTAAAAAACACTTCTTTCGTAAAAGATTCAAAACAAACAGCAAAGTGTCATTTTTGTCCGCTTGGACTCTTAATCAAGAAAAACCCTTTCATAAGGTAATAAAAAAACCAATCAGACAAGCTTGTGTCTTCCGTAGCCCGAACTACGTTTGCTCTGATCTTTCATGCTGTATGAAAGTACGTAGGCATAGGATGCCGTATCCTAGCGAGCAACCTTCCCCTCCTTTCCCGTAGGGTAGGCGAACTACGTTGACTTTGATTTCTCGTTCTAGACGGGAATACGTAGGCATAAAAAGCGATACTTTGCCGAGTCATTTTCTTTTCTTTTTAACACAGACCTATAGAGTAGATAGAATAACACACCATTAGATAGAAAACAAGCGTGGATCCCGTCGAGTACGACGGACGTGAGGGGTGCTAATACCTTCCCCTTGCGTAACCGACTCCCGAATCCAGGATTTGGTTGCGATGACCATTCCTTTCCCTCTTTGCGTTAGGTTTACTCTAAGCGTTTCCTTTCCCTCTTGTGGGATAAATAACGCGCGGTGGCGACTCTTCTGTCATAGCCGGCGCCGATTTTCGCAGTAGCGACACATATGTAAAGCCTTCTAAAATATGGTCTTTGATCTTCAACACCTTCTTGTACAGGCTCAACATTGATCTTAACTATTGACCCTGGATTGACTTTTAACAATTCATGACAGTAGTCATAGACCCTTGTGTAATCTCCCAAAAAAGAACCATCAACATAATCTCTAGCTGCAAATCTTGCTCTTATATCTTTGGTTTTGTTGACCCCAACATTCCACTTTTTTTGTGCCTTCTCCTTGATATCCTTTATACTCAACCTTGGATTGTTTTTCAAACTATTCTGAATTCTTTTACTCAACCACTTTGTACTCATCAGCTTCACATTATACTTTCTACTACAAATCTGTTTGTCAATTACTTTCCTGAGTTGTCAAGTGTCTTCATTTGACAACTTGCTACAATAAGCCTCTCACTCACAACCAACTTTACATCTAACCCTTACCCTAACTCTGTCATTTTTTTACAAACCTTAGGTTTCTACCATTTTGCACAACATAAGATGTTATTGCTTCCCTAAAATCACACCCTTTGAACTAAAACACATTCTCACATCCCACTTGTAATCTGACATGTCTTTTGGCAATCTGAAAATTGGATGCTTTTTTCTTATAACTCCACTACTATCATGACTGTCACATCCACTTTGCATGTCCTCACTATCATTGTCACTCCCTTTATCTTCTAAAGACTTATCATTAAGTTCTTGGACTTCTCCAATACCATCATTTTCATGACCAATTAGGGTATCAAGTTCATCCTCCTCAATCTCATCATACCCATCAGTCTCATCCTCAAAATCCACTTCTTGTGCACTATCATAATTGTATTCCTCATCTTCACTATCATTAGAAGATAAACTTAAGTCATCATCCACTGCATGTTTACCTTTTCCAACTCCAACATTACATTCTTCCCCTGCAGGTTTACCTTGTTCAACTCCAACATTAATTTCCTCAACTCCAACAATATGTTCATCCACTGCAGGATTCACTTGATCAACTACAACATTACCTTCCTCCAACCCAGCAGTGGCTTGATCAACTCTAACATCACCTTCCTCCATCACAACAGTGGTTTGTTCAACTCCCACAACTTCATCATGCAGTTGACTAAGTAACCCATCCACCTCATATACAATTTCAACAGGGCCCTCATCAACTCCATCAACAACAACATCACAGTATTCAGGTTGAGACAAGGTGTGCTCAATATAAATATCAACATTTTGGTGCGCCCTATAAAGATCTGTAATTTCTAAAGCACCATTGTCATCAACAAGTGCATTCATCCCAAATTGAGGGTCCTTGTAATATATTATTGCAAACTCCCTATAACCCAAGTCTTTCAACACACCAACTAGCTCAAAATAACTCCATTTGTCTACATCTACTCTCAAATCATCTACTACTCCATTCTCATATGCACTACAATATTCATCGGTGAACTCACCACTATGATGAAGTTTGAGAGTTATGTATTCAACCATGATACCTAATCATATTCTCTAAATAATTAGAGTTTACACTACAAAATTTACATAAACCCTAAATCTGAACCTCTAGCAGATATTGCCCTATGAGATTCGTAAACCCTAAATCAGATAGAAACGAACTAACCTTTTGATAATGTCTCATTCAACCGTCTTCAATCCTTCGCCCTCAATCCTTCGCGTCTTCAATCCTTCGCGTCTGGAACAATTTAAATCGTCTTCAATGCTTCGTTGGAACAATCCTCTTATCTTCTGGGTAATGGAAAGTCAGTTTAAAGAGGATTTTGTTTTACGATATTTCATATCGACGTCAATAACATCAAGTCCACCTGGACAAACGTGGCAATTGTTTTCAAACTTTGACTAATGGCAACAGACGGAAGGATAAACGTGACACCATTTTAAAAGTTAGAGGATCAACTTGCCACTTTTTAAAGTTAAAGGGTCAAACTGGACTCCGAGCTAAAATTAAGGGACGAAAAATGTTATTTTGCCAATTTTATTTTTTCATACTATAATCACTACAATTTATCATCCTATTTTGTTTTTTCTTTGGATTTTTGAAATTAAAAATTGTAATACAAGTTTTTCTAAATGACGTAGTTTCAGAATAATCAATCATAGAAATGACCTTATTAACTTCAATTTCATAATAATATGTTAATGATTACTTGAAATTCTAAATCATTAAATTTATGTCACATAATTAAACATGTCATCATTTTTTTTAATTTAGGAATTAGAGGAAGAGACTAAAACATGAATATTGTAGATAATCAAAATCTAATTAAGTCTAAAAAAATAGGCAAAATATCCTTCTTGGTCACTTAACTATACCTCGGGGTTCATTTTGGTCCCTTAACTTTAAAAAATTTCATATTGGTCCCTTAACTCTTCAAATGTTCCATATTAGTCCTTTTTGACCTATTAGCGACGGAAAAAAAAATCAAAAAACCGTCGCTAAATCCATCGCTATTAGGTCAAAAAGGACTAATATGGAACATTTGAAGAGTTAAGGGACCAATATGGAACTTTTTAAAGTTAAGGGACCAAAATGAACCCCGAGGTATAGTTAAGGGACTAAGAAGGATATTTTGCCAAAAAAATATTTATTTGAAGTAATGTAAATTATATTAAAACATTATTTTTAACAATTATTAATTTATTTAATAAATATAAATATACATTTATTATTAATATATATTTTTAATCATTTAAAAGAAAAACGTGAAATAAGTTAAACTTTATTGACTTAATTGCAATTTTGATCTTTCTATTTTTCATTTTTTTTAGTTTTGATTCCTTTATTTTAAAATTTAGAATTTTTCCCTCTTTTTTCATTTTTTTGAATTTTAGTTTTCTTATTTTAAAATTCAAAATTTTAATTCATCTATTTTCATTTTTTTTATAGTTTCGATCTCTTATTTTAAATTTTATTTTAGATTTTAATTCCTATTTTAATTTGAAACTAATTTAATAGAAGGATCAAAAATTAAAAAAATTAAAATAAAAGGACCTAAACTAAAAAAAATTAGAAATAAAAGAACAAAAATTACAGATTTTAAAACAGAAGGATCAAAACTAAAGAAATTAAAAATAGAAGAATAAAAATTCCACATTTTAAAATAGAACAATTAAGCCCTTTATTCAATAATTTGAAAGATAACAAGAACAAGTAAGTGTCACTTTCTTGGTTTCTTCTGCACTTGCTAACGGTCACAACAACCACAACCACAATGGTGAAACTCAAACCCTACATTTCCAGAACCCAATCCCTTCCTTCAATTTCAATTCGCACATTTCAATTTCCAATCTCCAAAACCACCTTTGATTCTCATCTCCGCAATCCCAAATCGTTCCCCGTTTTGCAATCCCATCCAACTCCAAAACCCCAACAAATCGTCTGCGCTAAGAGGCGAGGTTGGTCCCAATCATCAAATCGAAAGATTCTTCAACTAGCTTCCACGCTCGCATTCAATCTCAAAATCCTACCGGAGCCATTGAATTCGATCGTTGGCGAAATCGCACGAAGCAATTCAAATGAACATCGGATTCTGAACCGTCTCGCCGGTGGCTTGAGAGGGAAATCGAGGAAGAAGAGCAATGGGAAGAAGTTTTTGTTCCCCGTTTTTGTGTTGCTATGTGTTGCAGGTTTGTGGTCGTTTAGGGTTTCAGAATTGGACCTGTTTCTGAAGTCATTGTTCTTTTGTTTTGTTGGGATTTCTTCAATTTCGTTGTTCAAAACTAAAGGCATAAAGAAGTGGTTTTTAGGGTTTTCTTTTGGGGTTGTTTTGACGATGAGTTTCAGATTGGGAAAAGAGGATATAAAGTTTTGGGTTCAGAAGCTAAGAACTTGTTCTCCTGTTGCACAGATTGCAACAAGGAATGGAAATAGAAAATGGAGATTGTCAAAATGAAAGCTTTTTCTTTCTTTCTTCACACTGTGTTTGATTCAATTCAGCCACCAAAAGATTGTTTGTGTGGTTGCTGATTCTTGTAATGCTTAAGTATGAGTAAGTTCACCTTCCATTTTAATAGAGTGTACAGAGCGTTGCAAAACCTTTCATTTTAATTTAATCTAAAAATGTTTATGATGATTTTAAATATTAGTTATATGATACTCCTTTCTCCTAAATACTTAAATACGTTTCGAACATCTCCTCTTATACTTTCATGAAATTTAAATTAAATCAACAAAAACAGTAATTCCATTCAAATGGTAACTTAGAATTTAATTTCGGTGACAATAAATATAAAACTTTAATTAAACTCCATAATATTGATTTTACAATTTTAGGAAGACATTCTTCAACTTAAATTACTGCCATTAAACTAATCAAATGTATAGTTAGTACACATAAATTCACAATTTTTACTACCCTCATCTTGATGAAGGTACACATAAGATTCCACCCACAAATACCAACAAACAAATTTACCGAATCAGACCTCGCTACTTTTATTCATTGGATGCCATTCGACGATCACCTATTTTGGGCACTACACTCCTCGAAGGCAGGCAGTTTGAATTGTCGTCCATATATAAATGTCATTCCGTGCTATTACAATGTATGATTCATAATATATTCTTTTAAGTTATGCCTCTTTAAGCTCTCTAATTTGAGTTTTTTAGTACTAACTTTGTAGATACACCATCTCCTTCTACCGAAGACTTCAGCACATCACCAATCTCCCGCTCCACATCAAAATAGTGGTGCCGTCTGTAAGAATCATTTCTCGATTTTCATGAAATTCCACATCAAATTCTTCTATTTCATCTGCTACGCCGCCACGACCATTTTCTATTAACCGATTCAATCACTACAAATTTCATAATTGTCACCAATAGGGGATCTAGAAAACAATCAATTAGTCGCTCATTATAGTGATTATGCACCAGTATCCACCACCACAACAAAATAATCATCCCTCTATTTTGAAGTAGAAGCTTGTGTTCCTCCCACCACACCTTCTTAGTAGCAACACTAAGGCCAAACATCGAAATGACTCCTAGCATCGTTATAGTTACAATATTCGAAATAAAAAAATGCCACGTAACCTACATCAACTCTAGGTCGTGTTTGAACGCAAGGCATTAGCGAATTTGTTTTAAACCTCTATAACTTGATTTCCATGCATTCCTACACACGACTAAACAATTATTTTAGAACTATTGTGGTGGTTTTTCTAACACCTTATCGTCGACGAGAGGCATCTCTCTCATTTCTTAAATTACAAGAGGAATATCTCGTCCAAAAGGAACCGCTCAAGAGAGCCATAAAGAGACATATAACAAAATTGAAAACAAGCAGAAAAGAAAAGAGAATGAGTCAAATGACGAGAAACCCATTTTGGGGTTTGGAGTAGCGAAAGGGTGAGCGACATCCTCAATGAAGTATTTCCATTAGTAATAACAGCCAGAATAGTCAACTCCAAAGTGTCAAGAATTTTGATCGACGAGGAAATCTCATTTAACACCATGTACGTTTATATCTTCGACAGGTTAGGGTTGGAAAATGAGAGATTATCGCCCTACACAGACACCTATCTGTCGTATCGCTGCGAAGAGGGGTCGGCAATGACAGAAGAGTCGCCACCGTTCGTTATTTATCCCAAAGAGAGGGAAAGGAAACGATCAGAGAAAACCTAACGAAAAGGGAATAAGACAGGTCCTCGCAACCAAATCTCGGGTTCGGGAGTCGGTTACGCAAGGGGAAGGTATTAGCACCCCTCACGTCCGTCGTACTCGACGGGATCCACGCTTGTTGTCTAGTCTATAAGGGTGTAAATCTATCTATGCTAAAGGCTCACGGGGGCAAAAGAAAAGAAAAGTGACTCGATAGAGCATCGCCGCTCTATGCCTACGTATTCCCTCGTGCAATGGAAAAGTCAGAGTTAACATAGTTCGGAAAACTACGGGTGAAAGGTGAGGAAGGTTGCTCGCCAAGACATCGTCGTCTTGTGCCTACGTATCCTCGTCTGATACGAGAAATCAGAGCAAACGTAGTTCGGACTGATACGACCACAGGTTGGTTCAAGTGTTTTAAACGAGTAGGGTTAAACCTTAGTTCTAGCAGTTAGGTGTATACAGCTCGACCATTGGAGACTTAGGCGTTACCTGTTTGCAGTAGAACCAAGAGTTAACAAAACTCTCTTTCTGAAAAAAGGTTTTCCAAATTAATCCCGAAGGATAAAAAAGTTTGATGTTTTTGTTTTGTGTTTTTTAAGACAAGAATTGGATTGGGTTATGGTTTGAAACTCATTTCGCACTAAAGACTATGACTCGAGAGCGAATGCGTCGCATATCACCGAAATGGCATACGCTAAACACTCTAGACAGTTGAGAGGAGGTCCCCTAACCATCATTTCTCAAGTACTTAAGGCTCGTAGCGTACGAAACAAATCTTTCTTTATTAGGTGTTTTGAATTATTTAGGAGATGAGAAGAGAAAGACTCAAACTAAGGGGAAACTGGACCCTAAAGTTGTCATGCACAATGCTCCTAAAGTTGGAATGAGAGAGAAGAACTAACCTAATGTTATCATGCATAGGATTGAACACCTAATGTCTCTCCTACTCCCATCCTAAACGGAGGGACTAGGAATCCTAGGGAGATCATGACCAAAGGTCAAGTAAACACTAAATAATTCACTCACAAGTGAAATGAGAAAGAAAATAAATTGATTTGAATAAAGGACAAGCCACAAAGCACATTAATTGGTAAATTCAAAATAAATAAATAAAAGATAAAATGAAAATTAAAAGAAAAAATAAATAACACAACAAAATATTAGAAAAATGATTTTTTTGGATTTTTATAATAGTTAAAACTAATTTTAAATAAATAAGATAAAAACAAGAAAAGAATAAAATAAAATAAAAAAAGAAACAAAGAAAACAAGTCACTAAAAAGAAGAAAGTGCCTCCCCAAGGCTTGAACCCAAGACCTTGGGGTTGCAGGCTGAAAATTAAACCAACCAGACCACTCTCACACACGTGAAAAATGTGGAAAAAGAAAGTAAAAATAACAAAACATGAAAAAGAAAGAAAATAAAACCAAAAAGCGCCCCAGCAGGGGTCGAACACAGGTTCTTATGGCAAAGCAAGGTCTTAAGGGAAAGGTTCTAAGCATTGGGGTGGCGATACATCTGTTGTATCAAGCCACCCAACTCTACATATACCCAGAAAACACGCATGGGCTGGACCAAGGCAAGGCAAAAACAAGGCAAAACTTTGAAATACGACTTCGACATAACTCTCTCAAATCTCATCCAAATTCAGTGAAATTTTAGTCCATCCTGCTTAATTTTTCGAGAGGAACACAAAGGTGATGTCCATTATTTCAAATAATGCACTCAAATTAAAATTAGAATGCTCACGCAATGTGAGTTTTGAAAATGCATCTTGAGTTAATGAAGCTGAGACAGGTATGATTAAAGGCCTAAGATGGTTTGAGCAAGTCTCAAATATGATGTAGACTAAGTTCTAACAAGAAGGCTTGTTCAAAACACATTAAAGTGGAAAGTTGGTATGTGAGTTATAAATGATGTCATAAATGTCCAAGCAAGAACTTATGACAGTAACTACTCCCAATCCATTGTATGATCTCTTGTCTGAAATGCAACACTCATGTTTATGCTCTAAGGGGTGATCCTGAAACTCACTGGATAGTGTAGTGACCAACACAATGCAATACATGGAAGTGGCTCTAGAATAAGCTTTAAATCTCCTTACAAATGTCACAAAAGTGGTTATGACAGTAGGCTAATGAAATGCTCCAACATCACTCATGAGGAATTCCAACAACACATCAAACATGGTGTAGGCTTCACATAATTTGACAGCATACTTAACAACCTTAACATGACAAAGACAAATAGCAACCCTCAATCATCCAAACAACAAGTCTAAAGTCCATCTTAAATGATGGTCACCAATGCAAACACACATAGCTCTTAGCCCTCATGACAGTTCCAAAATTGATAATCCAACCTTGCCTCAAAACTAAACTCCTAGCTAAAACTGACAGAAACAAAAGCATCAAAACAAAGTTACCAATGGTCTTGACAGCAGCAAAATCTAGGCAGAAACTTCACAGACCAAGCTAACCTAAATTGGACAGCCAAATGTCATGAAATCAACCTGTTATGAATTCCAAATGGCAACAACTTCTAAACAAAAAGCACATCAGTAGGGAGAGCTCAATGAGTCTCTAATCCAAATTCAACCCTGCTACCCTTAATGTCCAACAACATACCATGAACTCCACATAAATCATATTAACAACCAACCAAAACCAAGGAAAAAACTGCCTTCACAACAGCTTTCACTTGGTCACAACCTTATCCCAAATGAACAAAGGTAAAACTAACCTCTAAGCAAGAGAAACTAAAACTGCTAAACTGCCAGGTCTGAGTTGATAAACTTAACCTTCAAAAGAACACATGGTTCCAAACCTAAACTGGTCAGTAGGTAACAGTGTCAAATAAAACTACACCAAGTCCAACAAAAGTGACATTCCAACCTGTCACGCATTCAGGTAGAACTAACCAACGAAACTGTCCTTCTCAGCACATACCAGCAGAGAAACTAACTAAGGCCTAAACACTCTAGCCTCAACTATCCTGCTAAAAGCTAACCTATCCACTAAATGGTTAACAACAATATGAGTTCTACATGAACCATACTAAAACCAACCAAAATCTACTCTAAATAGAAATGCCTTTAAGGATCACATCAGAATAGAGGCCACTACAGTCTTATAAAATGTAAAGGACTGACTGTACTAAATAGCCAAATCTCCATCTCAATGACAACAACAGTTTTGGTTCTCACAATGCCAATCTCAAATACTGAGTCCTTACAAAACAGTTACCAAAACAAACAAACTTTCTTGGACAAACATGCCAAGAGTCTAA